AGATGAGCAAAATGAAGTAGTATGTAGTCATAAAGGTAGAATTAGAAACTGGTTCTCATCAACTCGAGCAGAGCTAGTAGCATGTTTAATAGCAATATTAATAGCACCAAATGAATGCAGAGTAGAAATACGTACAGATAGTATATGTGCAATATCAGCAATAACAGAAAGCCTGAAGAATGAAAGCATACGATGCTGGCTTAAAACCAAAAACAATAGCCTTTTGTGAGCAATAGTTAAAGCTTGCAAAAGCAAGAAAATACAACTAGAGTTGACTAAAGTAAAGGTACACTCAGGTGATCTATATAATGACATAGCAGATCAGCTAGCAAAAGAAGGTGCAAATAGAGACGTAATGCTAAAAGTCAACAATGTCAGTATCAAAAATATAAAGTTCATTTCAGAGTAGGAAGGTTGCAAACTAGATACACCACTAAGAACATTTGTTATGAATCTAGTTCAAACAACATACAAGGCAGAATGAACTTGGTTAAGGAAAAAAAATGATATCTGGCACTAGCATCGTCTCAAAAGCCAAAACTGAAAAGTATTCAAAGGCATATTAAGAAGCTGTTATAAGCAGCAAAGTGGAAGTATGAAAGCAAATCACTTATGTATATTTAAAGTAAAGTGTATCAAAAATTTACTTCCTACCGTCAAAGCATTAAATAATAGAAAACTAGATGTATACAAAGACAGCGTATGCAAAAGGTATTTTATTAGACCAAAATCTGATGAGCATATTATTTGCTATGAAAAGGCACAAGATGCACTAACCAAAATAAGTAAAGAAGTTTGGAAAAAGATTAAAGACAACAAGAGAAGTGATGAAAGTTGGAATCTCTACAAGCTAACGCAGATCATGACAAAGTCATCCGAAAAAGAAAAACAAACTCAAAACGTCGAATGGTTGCGAGGAATCCTAAACAAAAATATTGCTAGAAAATTAAAGGAAAAAATTGGTGTAGAGAAATCTACTATAAAATTTTGGTGTATGTTCTGGAATCTATAGATAGAACAGGTATACTCAGAAGTCTGAATACCAAAATGCACAGACATGAATAGTTAGGAAAAAGAAGAAGAAATATTGCCAAAAGACAAGAAAATGAGCAAAGTAAGGAAAACAAGAGAAAAGAATAAAGGAAAAAAGACCAACAAAGCAAGCCAAAATATGCTTAATGAAGAACGAGTAGATGAGAACAGTAGGGTATTTAGTTTAGACTTTAAAATAACAAAAGATAGTTTGTTAGAAGGAATTGTAAAAAGAGAAAAAGGTTTATAGACATAATTAGCAAACATAATGGGCTGTGACGTCCTTCCTTCGAGGTACTTTTAGGTACTCCTTCTAGAAGTCTGAAAGTAAAGAGGTCAAGGGTTACTATAGCAGATCGCACTTAGGTACCATAATAATAACCGAGTGAGTTAATACTTAGCAATAGTCACTAGATAGTAATATATACTAGATAAAAATGTTTTAGTCATAGATTAAAATTATTGATTCAATAAAGTATTAGCATGATTGCTGAAAAAAAAAAAAAAAACTATTGACATAATATACGTTATTACAAGAATTTGTTAGATGCTATTTTTTATTATATTTTCTTGTATGTATTTGTTCTCTTTAAGCTGTATGCATAAGTTTGAAATTTGAAATCTAAATCTACTCGACTATAAAGTAAATACATATGCATATGTATATTTCTATAAATTAAAAACTCATTTTGTTCTATTTAGTATACAAAATAAATTTTCAGATCGACTGTATATAATTATCTGCACGAAACTAATATAAGTATATGCTTGTAGAAAAAACTTACCAATTAATTAACTCTTCTTTACTCTTCTAAAGTAAAATTTATATTCATGATCTGAGTTAATTCAGCATTAAATAAAAAAGTTTTTCTATTAGTCACAATAATATACATACAAACAGCAATAATGTGTGTTATTAATGTGCTAATTTGTGTAGCTACTGCATACAATTACAAATAAAGAATTGTATACAAATAAATTAGCTAGAGCAACCACTAAATGTGAATCTTATTATGTATAATAATTAATTAATTTATTAATAAAAAAGTATCTCTAATTGAGTTTTTGTAGTCATAATTTTTTTTTGTTTGTTGTTATTTAATATAGAAATAGTACTCTTTATATTTGGACTTTGTTCAGAAAATATTCAGAGTCACTCTCAAAATGTTAAAATAAAGTCAACTCAAAGCAAGCTTTTTATAGCCTATTATTTATACTCACTCTATTAAAATTATTCATTGCTTTTGAGTTAATGCAATAATTGAATTTTGTGAATGTTATGAACTCGCATTTTACTATTTTGAAGACAATAGCAATAAACATCAATAATTATACTAATTTGAAAGCAGTTATAAATACTTTGACAAATTTTATGTAGAAATCGATTTTTTTCATTAAGTCATTAACTAATCGATATATTTGCTACTCAAATTCCAAACTTTAGCTAAGCTAATTTCTCAAAAAAATTATTAATTGCTTTTATCTAAATAAAATATATTCTTATAGCTATATATACGTAGAATATAGTTATAAAATATCAAACTTGTTCTTTTCATTTAATTTTTCACAAATAGCAATTAGAAAATTTAAGTTTTACCAACAATTATATTTATTTAAAAAAAAAATGAGTAATCAAGATGATAGTAAGTAATTGCTTTAAGTCAGTTATAGTATTTAATTTGTATTTATAATTATAATAATATACTGTATCTTTTAAGATGAGGATTTGTCTCATTACAACTCTCCAAGACAAAAAAGTAGTAGCAAATTATCTTCCAATTCTTCTCAGCATAGTCATAGTAGATCTTCTTCTAATTCCTCTAAGCAGCTTCATGATGGATCCTGTTCAAATTCTTCTGAACAAGAAGAATATACTAGTAATTCTAGTAATGATTCTTTACAAAAATATAGTAATAGTTTTCATAAAAAAAAAGATAGAAAGCATAAATCCCATCATAATTCTTCTAAAAACCAATCTAAATCCTATTCTTCTAAGCAAATCTATAATAAATCTCATTCTAATTCCTTCCAACAAGAAGAATATGCTAATATTTCTAGCAATTATTATTTACAAGAAGAGAATAATAGCAGTTCTCATAAAAGAAAGTGGCATAGATCTTCTTCCTTACAACAAAATAGTAACAAGTATCATAAATCTCCTTCTAAACGACAAAGATATAGTAGATCTCAAAAAAATAAACAACAAATTTATAAATCTCATACATCTGAAGTATCTAAATTTAAAACTTCTCAAATTCAAACATCTCAAGTATCTCAAACTCAGACATCTCAAAATAGGTCTTATTTTCATTCAGCTACATCATATAAAGGTATAAATCAATGATTATTGTTAAAATTTTTTTATAATGATATTAATTAAACTTTTTCTTTAGATCGTCGCCAAATTGATGAATGATTTTTTGAACAGAATAAACAAATATACTTAATGCTAATAAAGCATGACTATGATCTAAAAGAAATTAAAAATGAACTCAAACAGCAAAGAGTAAAACAAAAAAATGAACTCTCGCCTTCAGTATTAGATACAAGTATCTTTTAAATTTTTTTTTTTTTTTTCGTTATTAAGGCTACTTTCTTGGCTGATTAGATTTTATTAGTTTGTTATTACGGAACTATCACATGAACAGTTTTCTAAGGTTTATAGTTACATGATGAGTG